AGTCATGCTGAATTTTAAACCACAGTTACTCCTGGGGCTCATTCACTCAATAAATGTTTATGGAGCACTACTATAGCCTGGGTATTATTCCAGAAGGGTCAAATGATTCCTCAAAAATAACACCACGAATTTCTTGAAAAGCCCAAGCTATCGTGGATATTCTCCATCAGAGGTTTCTGCCGTGTTGACGAACATCAAAATTGAAAGCTACCGTAACTAATCTCTCCTGCTAACCCTACTTTGGCATGCATCAGGTACGGACATACAGCTTTGCCTCCTTCTCCTCCAGGCCCACTGAAATGGGACAAGTAAACAAGATGGGGAAAATCAGACCCCTAATCCGGGGGGTTGGCAGGGCCTAGATGGAGCCCCGCTTTGGGTGGCAAGGCTGATGACAAAGAAATTCTAAGAGTCAGGTCTTACAGGACCTGGCTGTGCCATTAATACCAACAGCTTCTGAAGTAACATTTCCCTTGTTCAGAAGATTCTGGAATATCACGTACTGATTTCTTCTGGGAGGCAGCTTTGGTTATCTGCTTAAATTCGTCCTTAGTAATAATGTCTAAGACTAAAATGTTTGAACTCTTGATTTTAATTTTTCATTTTAGGCCCCTAAGGAGGAAATACCAATGTTAGTTTGAAGCAAACAGTTTTGGGCACTCAACTGGATGTAAAGGTTGGATTCCGTGGGTTAGGTTAAAGGTTAACATTTTTATTTTAACTTCTCAGACTCATTGGTGACACAGGAAATCTACCAATGGACACAAATGAAACATCTACATCCGTGGTTCTCAGGTGGGGGCAGTGTCGCCTCCCACGGGGACAGCTCAAAATGTCTGGAGACACTCTGGGGTGTCACAGCTAGGGAAAGGGTGTTGCTGGCATCTGGTAGACAGACACCAGAAGTGCTGCTAGACATCCTGCACCAAACAGGACACACCACACCAAAGGATTACTGGCCCAGGATATCATTAGTGCTGAGGTTCAGAGAAGCCCTACACCATACTGTGTAAAATAAGGTGGACTTTTATATTCTGAAATGAAAGAATTTTTATGCCATATTTTTGAGAGGAAAAAAAGTTGCAGCATGGGGTGTGTGTTTGTGTATATGTGGAACAGGGACGAGTAAAAATTGAGTCATTCTGAATCTTATTTATTTATTTTTAAATATTTTATTTATTTATTTGACAGAGAGAGACACAGCGAGAGAGGGAACACAAGCAGGGGGAGTGGGAGAGGGAGAAGCAGGCTTCCCGCTGAGCAGGGAGCCCAACGCGGGGCTTGATCCCAGGACCCTGGGACCATGACTTGAGCCGAAGGCAGACGCTTAAAGACTGAGCCACCCAGGTGCCCCAAGTCATGCTGAATTTTAAACCACAGTTACTCCTGGGGCTCATTCACTCAATAAATGTTTATGGAGCACTACTATAGCCTGGGTATTATTCCAGAAACCAGAGGCAGAGCAAAACAAGATACGCATGGCTCTCACTTTTGAGGAACTTATAACCTGGTGAGGTTGAAATGGACAATAAAACAAGTATGAAAATACAAAATAAGATAATTCCAAATAGTGATTCATGTTAAAAACAAGTTTTAATACAGGTCCAGTGTTGTTTGGGTTTTTATAACATATTTAATTTCTAATTAAAATTTTTATTTAGAAAAGTTTATCTTCCCCATAGGTAACAGTCACCTGCCATGTTCTAAGAAGATGGATTCTTCCCTTCTGACCACTACCAAAGGGAGGATCTGCTGTTAATCCTGGGTACAGGATTCAGCGCGGCGAGCTGCAGGCTTTCAGCTGTGGTCACTCTCCTCAGCAATGCCAACAATCTGGAAGAGAACACAAACACTTGAGGGAAGGGGGGAGATGTGGTGGTGAGGCCAATGTACCAACTGCAGGCCTCAGGAAGGACATGCAGACATGTCTGAAAAAAGCTTTGAGGGGCAAGGAACCACTTGGAGATTTAAGCCTCAGAGGACGAATCAGGCAGGTTGCCAAAACCAAGACTTTTTTTTTGAGAGGACTCAGAACCTTCTACAAAGGCAGCCAAAATGAAGAGGTCCTAGAAAATGAGATGTGATAAGAAGCAGGAAACATGCCTCTGTTTCCTTCCTCCCTCTCCCACGTTTCCGTGCTCCACTCTGCCCCCAATAATCAACACAGCTGAAGAGACAAAGGTCAGGAGTGTTGGTAAGAAATTCAGTTACCATGTCTACTGCAGTCTGCAAATTCCAGCATGGCTGAGAAGAACAAGACAGACAAGACATACATATGGTGGCCTGCACATTAATAAGGCTCTGGAAAAATGTTCGTTTTCCCGAGAAGGCCTCAAAGGCACAAGAGAAGCCTGAATCCTCACTGCTGGCTAGCCAACTCTGAAATTTGCTCCACTCTGGGAGAGACAAGGTACCTCTAACAGACCTGCTTCCTCTGCCAGAAAAAAAAACAGCCCAGAGCCTGTGACTCAGGGTCAGTGTGGAGATGCTGTATGATGCACTTTGTATCCAAATGACAACTTTAACATCTATCAGTGCATCTTTATTGGATAACAAGAACAGAGACAGAAATCAGGCTTATCCATGGCCATGACTGGAATCTGGAGCAGAGCCTGAATTAGCTTCTTCCTGGGCCCTCCATACCTCCAGCTGTCCAGGAGCCCCAGGTACAGGGCTAAGGTATGCAGAATACTGCCAAGAAGTGAGGGTGGGCTGCAGGGGAATGGGCTCTGGCCCAGGCTGGGTGTCCCAGGGAAGAAAGAAAAAGAGGTTTACATAATTGTGGCTAGAGGTGAGTTGAGGGCAGGCAGGACACTTAAACTGGAGAGGGCACAAACAGCTCTCGTCAGACAGACGGTTGGAACTCCAAACACCATCATACCTCAAATGTGAGTTTAAATCCTGCCCATTTGTTTAAGTTGACTACTGATTGAACAGTTAGGAATCTGCCTCTTTGGCTACCCAACATCCCCTCTTGTTTTTTATGAACAGTCCCTGAATTCATTCAGGTGTCAGTGTGCGCAGCTAATCCCTCCATTTCCCAGTCTTCCACTCAGGGGTGACCAAAGAGGTGAAGCAGAAGTCATTACGTGTGGCTCCTAGGACATATCCTTAAGGGCTGACCTGGGGGTGGGTAGGGTGTGAGGAGGGTGGAGGTACCATTTCAGCCCCTGCCGCTGGCCTTCCTCCAAGCTGCACTGTGGAATGATAGCTAGGGCTCGGTCAGTCATTTTGTTATCACAGGCTAGAAGCTCTGGACTAAGGATGGTAGAGCACAAATACAAAGGGAACCTGGATTCCTGATGCTTCCCTGGAGCTGTGAGATGGTTCTGAATTGCCAACCTTCAGACTTCTTTATATGGGAGAGCAACCTCTGAACTGTGGTTAAGCCGTTTGGAGTTGACTCTCCACGAACAGCTGTGAATGGGACACAATTCCAATCTATGCCTTCATTCAGCTGGGTCACCGGCTTGCGCAGGAGGACTCACCCTCTGGCCAGGTACTGTGCCAGGTGGGGAGGCCACAGTGGTGAACAAGACAGGCTAGAATGGAACTTTATACTCTCGGCCGGGGGCTAGGCAGACAAAACCAGCTGGCAAAGAAGGCAACCATAACATTCTAGATAGTGATTAAGTACTAATAATAATGCTAAGTAATAGTGATAGTGATAAGAAAATAAAGTACTTTTGTGACTAAAATGGCCAGGGGTACATCTGATAGTCCAGGAAAGTATCTCGGGAACAGGGATGTGAATGATATAGACCCAGTCATGCAAAGATCAGAGGTTCAGGCAGAGGCAATGGCAAGTAGGAGGCCTGAGGCAGGAACTGGTCTGGAGTGTTCAAGAAAGCCTGTTTTACTGGCCTGTGGTTTAAAAAAAAAAAAGAGTTGGATGGTGGGAGATGTGGTCAGAGAGGTGAGGTGGAGTCTGCAGGACAAGGGCAAGGATCTTAATCTAAGCCTGACAGAGAGCCACTGGAGCATCTTAAGCAGGAGAATGACAGGATCTGATTACCTTTTAAAAGGTTATCAGTGTCACTGCGGGCTCCGGGAACACCTTATCCTGAGATTCCATTTTGGTTCGGATAAAATGCTTTAATTTTAATGCCCACGACAAGGCATGCATTCTTTTGCATCCCCACGCCTCACCGTTCCCTGCTGTTTGGCTTGGCCCAGTTTATGGATTTACATCACACACCTGGCCACCTGAGGCATTTGAGTTTGCAACTCCACATCTCGTCCATTCTCCTATTTGTACAAAGTAAGACACAGGCCCAAGACATGAACGACTTGTCCAAAATCAGAGAAAAGACTCCAAGCCAGGCTCTTTACTAGCTGTCCCCCCCACCCCCCAACCTTCCTTAACACCCTGCTGCACAGCTAAGTTTTCTCTGTTAGGAAGGAGGCACTTGCCCAGCTCAATAAGAAAAAGGAACCATGTGGTGTGTGGAAGTTGATAAAGGAAATCTCATTTGAAGTGGAGTCAGGACACCCTGTAGGGGGACCTCTCACCCACACACTTTCCCTCACAGCTTACCTCACATTCCTGAACAGGTCATTTTACAACCCCAGCAGGTAGAAGTGAGTGAGAAACTATCACAACTCAGCCCACCAGAAACCATCACCACCCTGAACTCTTGCTTTCCTCCAACAGGCTCAACAGACCTTTGTTCAAAGCAGCCCTTCCCAACTTCCTCTTTTTTTTTTTTTTTTTTTAAATAATGTTCCTCTGTTCCTCTCCTTTGTTCTCCAGACTGGCCTATGGTTTGCCATAGCCGGCAGGTCCCAAATTGCAATTCCTCTGGTATTCCCAAATACACTCATTTTGCTGGTAAAATAACTGGCTTTTTTTGTTTTTTTAGGTCAACAGGTTATTAAATTATATATGTCACAACAAACGGGCTCTGATATTTTTATGCATATTATTTCATCTTAATCAGCACGCAGAAACTATTTTATAATGTTGTCATTTGATTTCTGCGAAAATTAATAAAAGGAAAGGTCACTTGGAGTGGAGTCGGAGGCCAGCAGGAGTAGCTCTTGCACGCTTATGGGGGGGGTGTCAACTGCAGCCCCCAGAGGAAGTGACAGATGCACTTTGCACCTCCTGTCCCAGCAGGCGGTAGAAAGGTTTCCTCCTGCCCCAGCAACAGCCCAGCCAATGGGAGGCGGTCAAACTCAGCCAATGAGAAGCCAGTATACTTGGAACTCCGGCTTTTTTACTCCAATGGACTTTTTGGTTATTACAGCCTTCCCAACCTCCCCTCTCCCAGCGTTCCTCCCCTTTCTTCTGGACACTTACCTATGGCTTTACCTAAGCTTGCCTGTCCCAGATTGCAATTCCCCAAAAAACCGCCCCCTTTTTTGCTGGTTAAATAACGGTCACTTTTATTTTTAAGGTTAACATTTCCAATACCTCTTTCCATGTAGACAGGATCTGGAGCCAGTTATTCCAACAGCTAAATAACATCTCACTATGTATGCATGCCCATTTGTGACCGTTTGTCTTACTGGGCACCTAAGGTATTTGTTTCCCCCCAACTATAAGTAGCACTGTTAGCCGATGTCTTGTTTAATACATATTCCTTTTCATGTGCTTCTTTAGCTAATATTCTCATTAAGACAAAAGGTTTAAGATTATTTTTCTAGGATCTGCTACAGACTGCCACGAGCCAAAACAGGCGGCTCCCTGCGACCAGCATAGCCCTGGCCGGTGTCCCGCTGGCCTAAATGATGGAAGCCCCTGTCCAAACTGACCCTGGGCTGCCCTGTTTCATTTTTAACACGAGGGTAATCACACCACGGACCTCCTAAGACAGAGGGCCCATTAAAGGAGACGCTTCCGCTAAGCACTTATAACCGGACCTAGCACGCGGTAAGAGGTAAGTACAATCCCAGGGTCGAAACGGTAAATGGCCCGCGGTGAGGCCAGCAGCGCCCCGGAAAGTGCCCCCACCCCAAGCCCCCGCACCCCGGCGAGGGAAGGCACTCACACTGCGGGCAGCGCAGGCCCTGGAAAAGCAGCGGAAGGACTCAGCCCTCCGCCTTCGGCAGCGAAGATCCAGGCGTCCGCGCCAGGTTCTGGCCCCCCGGGGGCCCGTACTCTCACTTGTCTGCCGGGCGGAGAGCTGCGACTGCGCTCTGTGCCGCCAGGCCGCGTGCACTGGCGCCGCCTGCGCACGGCCCCCGCAGGTCCCCAGAGCCCAGCAATTCTCTCTTCCCGGCCCTCTCCCGGCGCGCCGCCCCGCCCCCTCCCGTCTCCCGGCGCGCCGCCCCGCCCCCCTCCCGTCGCCGCGCCGCCCCCGCCCGGGCTGTCCTGACCTGTGCCTGTGCCCGCCCCACACCTCTGGCGCTGGCCCTGCCCTGGACCGGGGTTGCAGGTGGCGGGGAGTCCTCCTGCTCTGTGCTTCTTCCCGTACTCCAACCCTGGTTAGGTATCCAAGTTTTAAAAAAATGCAGGTCCATGGCGTAATACTTAGCAAGAAAAAGGATCGAGAACCCAACAGCCTGTGAGACTCTCCAGAAAAGTATGTCGAATGAAAAAAGCCAATCTCAAGAGGTTCCATGCTGTATGACTTATGTGACATTCTTGAAATGACAAATTATAGAAATGGAGAACAGATTAGTGGTTGCCAGGGTTTAGGAAGGGGGTAGCTGGGGCAACAGGGGCCCTTGTGGTGATGGAAATGTTCCGTATGGGACTGTATCAATGTCAGTATCCGGGTTGTGATATTGCACTGTAGTTTAGCTGGATGTTCTCATTGCAGGATTCTGAATAAAGGGCACAAGGGATGTCTCTGTTCTTTCTTTCTTTTCTTTTCTTTCTCTCTCCCTTCCTTCCTCCCTCCTCTTTTCTTTCTCTTTTCTTTTTTCTTTGCTCTCCTTTCCTTTCCTTTTTTTTTCTTTCTCTTTTGTAGGCTCCACGACCCTGAGATCAAGCCCAGAGCTGAGACCAAGGGTCAGCTGAGCCACCCGCATGCCCCTCTGGCTTGTTTCTTAAATTGCATGTGAGTCTACAATTTTCTGAAAAGAAAAAGCTTATTCAAAGAAAAAGGAGGAGAGGGGGAGAAGGTTCTAGGCCAAAAATACCCCCTAGAAGGCAGAGAGGTCCCTGAGAGGTACTGTGTGTGTGTGGAGGGAGTGTGCTGGTGAGCAGTATGGGCTAATTATCTTTTTTCTTTTTCCCAGCACTTTCTGGTTGTTGCTACCTCATTTGATAGCCCACCTACTTTTGTGACCTTCTTAAGGACCCTCCCCACATTCTGTGCTTTGATGTTTGGTGTCTTCAGATGACCATATAAAGCAGAAGTAAGGTTTCCCCTGCGTTCATAATGTTCCTGATGAAAATAACTGCAGCTGTTTGTAGACCAGCTGGGTTGCTGTGGATGTTTTCTGCTGTTGATGTATTCAGCAATGAGAACATGGCCTCTCTCAGATACCCTCGTGCCGGCAGGGAACAGGGCTGCCTTGTCTTGTGAGCTCAGGAGATCCTAGAGGCATGCTCGAGGCATTTTCTAATGGACTAGAATGTCCCCAAAGGCAAAATTTGTTTTGTCTTATCCCCCTTTCTGTTGACTCACTGAGGGGATGTCCTCAAATCATCTCTGTGTCACAGAAAGAAACCAGTTATCCTAAAAGGAAGGTGCAGGCCCTCTGGCATAACTGAAGGTAAGCTTCCTTACGAGGAGCGCAAGTAACCCTATTGTCAGGTCTCTTATGCTGTGAGGACTTCTAAGACCTCTGGGTGATGTAGATCCCATGGGAAGACCAGGGAACTGTGGAATAGCAAGTGTCAGAACCAGTCTTAGGAGCATCTTAGTTCCTGGTATGGGAACTGAAAGAAAGGAATTGAGCCCTAAGGGAGACCAAGACTCACCCTCACCTCTGAAAAACAGCAGGTACACGGAGGATTGGAGCTCGGCGTTCATTATGCTTCTGTGTGATCTGACAGCACCATCTTGTGGTAGTGAGGAGCAATCACACATGTGGACTGAGCTAGTTACCCCCTTGAGAATGGAAGCTGGCCTTCCCTTGGGTTTGGAGCAGTGTGAGCCCCCGTGGGTTGATTCTAGCACAGTTCAGTAGGAGCCCATCTGCCAAGAGAAAATAACAGAATTTCCTGTGAATCTCGTATGGGCAGCTGAGCATTTACCGCAAGCAAATAAGATATGACCATATGTATATTCTGAGTTTAATAAGAAGGTGGTGCTGTTAAAACAAAATAAATACACTTGGCAGTGACAATAAATATCACCTCGAGGGGTTTCTGAGATTTCCATTTTCCTTTCCCCCCTTGCTATGAAGAAATGCAAGAACTGAATTAGTCATTCTAGGCAAAGAGGCAATTAAGCCAGTTACAGACTTCGTCTTCTCCCCAGCTCCCTATACTCATGTTTCTGGTGAAAATGACTATCGAGGGCTACATTAAAGCTAATATAAGCAGTTTGAACTATCTCCTGGAGGAGTAGTTACTTTGGGTTTTATTTAATGACTTTTCTTTCACTCTGCTAACAGCATCCCCTTTCCTGTGGGAAAAGAATTCTTCCTCGTAACATATGTTTTTTTTTAATTGTAGTAAAATGTATATAAGATTTGCCATTTTAACCATTGTAAGCACACAGTTCAGTGGTGTTAATTATATTCACAATGTTGTGCAAACAACACCATTATATATATATCCCCCAATTTTTAATCACCCCAAAGAGAAACTCAGTAAGCATTAAGCAATCACTCCGTACCCCACCTCCCCAGTCCTGGTAACCTATTTACTTTCTGCCTCCATGAATTTGCCTATTCTAGATATTTTGTGCAAATGGAATCATACAATATGTGGCCCTTTGTGTCTGGTTTATTTTCACTTACCATAGTGTTTTTGTTGCAGGAAAGTTGGGTCCAAGGACCCAGCGGCAGGTCCCACAGGACCAGCCAGGAGAGTCCTTGGCTTTGCACAGGACAGAAATCAAACTCGAGCTGGAGGAAGTAAAAGCAGAGGTTACTGACTAGTGATCAGTTATGGCAGACAGAATGTCTGGGAGACTAGGGAAGGAAAGGAGAACAAATCTCCATTGTTGCTTGGAGTTAGGGGCAAGGGGTCCAGAGTACGTGTTCCTTCAGGAATCCAGGGTAGGGTCTGATCAAAGGCGAGTGACAGGTGAATCATAAGTGTTATTTCATAGGTCATCAAAGGTAGAGGGTATTGATGCTAGCGTTGGCTGAGGTTTGTTTGAATCTAATGTCCTGGCACATGTTTGGGACCCGGTTCTTCTTAGATGTTATCAGGTGTTTGGGGGCCTGGGAAAAACTCAGAGAATAACTAACTGTTGTGCTTCCCCTTGGAGTGGGAACATAGCTTCTATGGGTTGCACAGATGCAAAATACAGAACATGAGGAAATGGGGCCTAACAGAAAAACAGCAGAGATAGAGCCTTTCTCAAAATGGAGTCCTCTTAGCTTGCCTATCTTCTCTTCAAGGTTCATCCATAGTATAGCACGTATCGGAACTGCATTCGTTTCTTTTTTAAAAGGGATCCCTGCCCCTCACTGCTGTGATGAGAAGCGGCATTCCAAGGATGCTGCTTGCATGGAAAGTGTGTGGAGCTTGCTGAACTGTGATCCATGGAGGCTAGCAGGCCCTGAGGCTGTCCTTGAGACAGAAATGAGTCACAGGTTGAGTCACCAAGTCAGAGGCTAGCTGAGGCCAAAGCAGGCATGACAGGTGTGGGTTCCTGACACTCTCTCGGCACGGTCTCAGCTCCAGACAGAACTTCATTACTTTTAATGGCTGAATCATACGCCATGGCACAAAAAAACACATTTTGTTTATCCATTCATCTGTTGGATACTTGGGTCGTTTGACTATTGTGAATCATCCTGATGAAAATATTGCTGTACAAGTGTCTAAATCCCTGTTTTCAATTCTTTTAGATATACACCTAGGAGTGAAATTGTTGGGGTTTAGGGTAATTCTGTGTAGTTTTTTAAGGAACTGGCAAACTTTCCTACAGGGACTCCACCCTTTCATATTCCCATCAGCTCCATACAAGGGTTCGGATTTTTCTACATTCTCACCAACATTTGTGATGTTCCTTTGAAAAATTATTATAACCAAACCTTAAAAATAAAACATTTATTTTACCAGCAAAAATGGGTTTATTTAGGAATAACAGAGAATTGCAATTTGGGACATGAAAGCTATGACAAAACCATAGGCAAATCCAATAAACAAAGGAGAGAAATGTTACTTTATGAAGAGGAGGGAGGAAATTAGGAGGGATTATTTTGAAAGAAAGATCATTGGAGAAGAGCAAGAGTTCAGGGCGATGACGATTTCTTATTGGCTGAGTTGCAGGGGTGGTCAATTTCTTGTAGGAAATGCAAGGTACATCTTTTCCCTTTGGAGCCTGTAATTGATGATTATTCTTTTGGGGTCTGTAATTAATAATTCTGCTTGTAATTGGTATATTATGGGACCCCCAAAACCAGATTCTTGAGTCTCAGTGGCATAGAAATGAACACTGAACTCGAGAAAAAGAATACAGGTGGAGTTTTTTAGAGATAGCTTGTATACAAGGGAGCTGACAAGAAAAATGTCGTTATTTTCTGGTCGTCGCTCTTTAATGGCTGACATATTTCAGGGCACCTGAAAAACAGAAATACTTGTGCAGACAGGCTTTAAATTGTTATATCTGGGTAAAGTGTTTCTTCTGTTTTTGCTCAAACAACCATTACTCCCTGACAACTTTTTCTCTCTCCTTTGTTCTCTTTCTGAGAAGGATGTGTTTGTCTCTAAGCATATGGAAACTTTGCACCCTTGCCTCCCACCAGTGACTATACAGGAATGAAGTCTCTCTCATTTTCCCTGTACTGCCTCTGTATGGCTCCCCTTACTAGCCTCAGGACTCTACTTTAGTGGGATTTCCTTTTATTAATTTTCACACATCCTAATTGGTGTGAAGTGGTATCTCCTTGTTTTGATTTGTATTTCCCTAATGGCTAATGAAGGTCAGCATCTTTTCATGTGCTTATTGACCATTTGTAGATCTTCTTTGGGGAAATGTCTTTGCATGTACTTTGCTCATCACTTAATTGTCTTGTCTATTTTTTTGTTGAGTTGTAAGAGTTCTTGATATATTCTGTAAATTACCAGGTAAATGATTTGCAAATATTTTCTCCCATTCTGTACATCATCTTTCACTTTTTTGGGGGGGTCCTATTCCTCTGTAAGCCATTAACCAGTTATTCTTTTTCTTAATTCCCTTTTATTGTTATTTCTATCTTGCTGCTGAGTTCTCAGGAAATAGATCTTGGAGGTGGGATGGAGTTATAATCTTTATTCAATGAACATACTGGTAGTTCTGAATATTTTCAGGTTTCTTTGGATATTTCAGGGTGAGTAGATGTTGTATATTTTGAGGGTGTTCTTTGTCTCTAATTGAAGATCATCCAAACTCTGAGATGTCATGAAGAAAAGTAATGGCTTTTTCGTCAAACTTAACTGGAAGACATTGACCCCTGCCAGTTTCATTGGGAAATGAGCTATTATGTCCGTCTCCTTACAGAACCCCTGGTTTCTGAGAAATTTCTCTCCCTGTGGTACTTTGGAAAGGTCTGCTGTTTGTCAAGAGTGATCAATCTTGATTCCTCAAAAGTTATGGGTGGAATTCTAATGGCAACAGGGTATTATTTAACTTTTTGCATTAGTAAGTAGTCAGTGGATAGCATCTAAACAAAACGGTAGAGACTACATTCAAATTTTGTTATTAGGTCTATTTTTTAACTTTTTTTTAAACTTTTTTTTAGATTTTATTTATTTATTTGACAGAGAGAGACACAGGAGAGAGGGAACACAAACAGGGGGAGTGGGAGAGGGGGAAGCAGGCTTCCCGCGGAGCAGGGAGCCCAATGTGAGGCTCGATCCCAGGACCCTGAGATCATGACCTGAGCCGAAGGCAGGTGCTTAACCAACTGAGCCACCCAGGCGCCCCTAAATTGTTTTTTTTTTTAAAGATTTTACTTATTTATTTGAGAGAGAGCAAGTGAGAGAGAGCATAAGCAGGGGGAGGAGCAGAGGGAGAGAGAGAAGCAGACTCCCCATTGAGCAGGGAGTCCATCCTGGGCCTCCATCCCAGGACCCTGATATCAGGACTTGAGCCGAAGGCAGATACTTAACCACCTGAGTCACCCAGGCGCTCACCCCCCCCTTTTTAAAGATTTTATTTATTTGAGAGCTAGAGCAAGAGAACACGTGAGGGAGAGTGAGAGTGGTATTAAATAGGTTTTTGATGTTAAGTGGCCATTCATACCATGAATAATTGATGACTCAAAGATGAGAACACAAACCTTTCATATCTTAACTTATTCTAACTAAGGATTTAGTTGACAGCCAAATACTGGCAAATTCAACATGCCTTTAGCAATGACTGCTGTGTGTACTTGGGCCCAACCAAACCTTAAACTTTGTATCACCACCCCAAATCAATCAGAACATTCTGGCAATTGTATGAATAGAGATATTAAGCTTTCACTGTACACATTGATGTATAGTGGGTAAAATTTTGGTTTAAAATTATAGATAAATGGTACTTTAAAGATTGCACCATGGGAATTGCAAATGTAATTGAGCCAGAATTCTGTTCTATGACTTTTCCCCCAACTTTCTTCATGACTCAGAGTAATGAAACTTGGATGAGGGAATGTGAATTGAATAAGTGCTCCCTGCTATTCAAGGTTAAGCTAAAAAGGCAACTTAATATTCTGGGTAATTATTAGAAATAAGGATAGTGTGGGATAAGAATTGCTAGCATTTACAGAGGGCTTACTACGTACTAGCAGTATGCTAGGTTCATTACTGTCTGATTTAATCCTCACAGCAGCACCAGAATGCAGTTTCTATTATCATTTCCGTTTTCCAGATGAGAAAACTGAGGTC